GGCGGCTCCCAGCAGTCACGAGCTCCCTCTGCTCCTTCTCTTGGCACTGCTCATCCCATCCACCTCTCACCGCAGGCCCACGTGCTCGCTCTTCCCTGCCTCCTGTCCCTACCGAACACAGCCTCTGTCCTTCCTCACAACTGCCCAGAGGTGAGGTTCTGAAAAATAAAATAAAAATAAATTAAAAATACACTGTGCCTTCATCCCGCAACACCACCTAATCCATGGCATTCAGGTAAGTGGAGCTGTAAAAAAACGAGTGAGCCCTCAGGATCCTTCACTGTTCAGTAAAACACATCCTGATGTCAGGGTTTTCTTTTCACAACATCAGAGCACTGTCTTCTAGAACGTCTTTAAAAAGCAGCTCTAGGCTGGTTGTAAAAGGAAGCACCCTGCCACTCCCATCTGAGAGGAGATGAATCACTTGAAACAGATGGATTTCATCTTAATTCCCTCCCCATGACTTAAACTACGGAAAGAAAATACAGCGAAATGCCAGGGATATGCTTATCAGCGTTACTTTGTGTATTCACTGCTGAGCAGAGATGCTCTGCAGGTACCAATAGCGAGAGACGACAGGATGGCACTTTACTGTGTGGAAAAGACGGTCCTTCTTCTTAGGAGCTCTTACCTGAAACGCCTTTAGAGCGGAATACAGAGCACAGTGAAAGCCTTGCTCTGCTCACACATCAGGCAAACACACACCAGAGGATTTCCCTAACGTGGCTGTGCAATTCTCTCAGTGGGTCGTAAAAGATGGCTTAAGAGATTGTTGGGGGCTTCAATACCACCTAAAGCACAGAAACCCTCGGTCACCTGCGTCCTGTTCACATCCAGGCCTGACAGATACACACACTTGGCAAAATCTAGAAACACAAACGGATTGTCATGGCTTGCTGTCACCAGTACCTTTTTGGTAACTGCTTTTGCAGAAGACTTCGGACATTGTGAGTTATTTATCCTGCACCAAGATCCTTCTAAAACAGACTTGAGTGCTTTTGAAGAAACAGACACAAAAGATAGGAGATGAACTGCTCACCTGAATTCATTAAGAGCATCAACAATTCTGTTATATGCCAAACTCCGCTGACTGGCATCAGCTGATCTACGACTCATTTTCATAGCCTTGAAAACAATCATTAAACAGATAAGTAACACATAGCTACAGAAGCACAGAAAATGGAAAACAGAGTCATGTGTTTGACTTTATCTTTCATGCAAGCAGTCATGCAAATAATTTTTTTTTTTAAGTGATAAAACGATGGTACAAGTGCCAGCTTTCGTGTCTGAGGAGAGACAGGTGAGGCACACGCATTTGCAGCCTCTGCGTCTTCTGTGCTTTTCACCATTCAAGGCATAAAAGGGGTCGAAGTTTTCACTGCAGCAGCAGAGTAACCACTAAGCATTTCCTAGGCAAAAGATCTGAAGCAAATCTAACCACATGTTTGAAACTTTGATCTTTGAAAATTTCCTACACATCAGAATCAGGGGGTTAAAAAAAGAAAGAGGAAAAAAGCTCAATATTTATTTACAGCCTGGAACAGCCTAGAGATAGGTTCTGACCCTGCGATCCAGTGGACTCGGGCGCAGCTGAAGAGGGGAGGTGGAGGAGACCTTAAAAGCACCTTTCCCCCTCGGCTGATCCAGGGCTTGCTGGCAGCTCTCCCAGCCCCCCCCCGCCGCGTAAGGCAGTGCGCTCTGTCCTCACCCTGTGTTGTGCCTTCGCCACCAGTAAGAAACATCAGCAAAGATGCTGCAGAGCAAAGCTCTTCCCTGGTGCAATTCCAACAGTCGATCCCACTTTTGTAAACGAGTAACCAGGGCTCGGAATAGAATCTGGCAGGGCCGGGGGAACGTACAGTGATAAAAGCGCAAGAATCAAGAGCCCGTGTTTACCTGCTCGATGGCACTCTTCAGTTTGTTCATGTGACTCTCGAAAAGAGGGAAGTGCGAGAAGAAGAACTCATTAAATTTGTTGTTTTCGTCTTCATCTCTCGAGAGTGAAAAAATAACGCCAATTGCTATCTTTTTCTTCCTAACAATTCCTGGGCTAGGACCAGAGCTGTCATCTGACAAGTTAAAGCTTTCATCCATGGACCTTGAAGCGTGAAAAAAATAGAAAGTTAATGTAATCCACTGCTTAAAGTCGTACCTTGGTCTCCCTGTGTGATTCAAGTCCTGAACATTTAACTTCAATAAACACCTTTCATTTGCACGTGTAGTCAAATCATCACCTTTGATAACACCCACTTCCCAATTGTTTTTACAAGCAACCATTAATTGATCCCGCAATCACAAAAGCTGGGACCAGATTCAAAGTGTTTGTGGGATCAGAATACGGTATTCTTGTTCTCTCCCATCTCTGCCAAGAATCTGTGTTTTGAGTAGGATTTTAGGGCTTCTTACCCTCAAAAATACAGCCTACAGGTTTACATTTTGCTGAAGGCTTTTCTACTTAGTGCCAAACAATGAATGCCATGAAGAAAACAGATACTAAAAAAGATCAGGCGTGGAAGTGCAGCCTGACTTACACGTCTGTGAACACCCCCACCCAAAGCAACAGCAAGAGCAGATGTACATATGCAAGAGAAGAATCAAGCTGACAACGGTGGAAAATTTATGGGCAGCAACCCGCGTTTTCACTCCCAGCTCACCATCGAGGGAAGACCCCGTTCTCCAAGCTGGTAGTCTGACTGCGACGCCAACGCCGCTGGTAACTGCTAGCACAGCTTTTGTTAAACGAGGAGCCCGGAGATGGAAACGGAGTGATGAGCAGACTGCTAAGAGATGCTGCAATAATAAGAGGAATAAATAAAAATCTCTTCAGAAAAAAGAGCATTGGGAAAGTAACACCAGCAACTAAACGAAGCCCCTCAACATAAACTGGAGCTGCTTCTCGAGTGCCTTCTCTTTTGCTTATCTGTGTTTCTTATCTAAAAATAACAAGTTTATAACAACATTAACAAGACCTACAAGCACTGCAAGGGTGGGACAGTCCTGCAGCTTTACATAACAGGCAACGTACAGGCTGCACCTTGCTCGACAGCCCTGAGTATCGGGAAATAAATTCTTTGTGGAAAGGGGTTACACTAATCACATCCTTCAACAGCCTTTCCAGTCCTAACCTGAAGTGCCCAATATCCTGAATTTGCGGGGAGGAGAGAGGTGCTGTGGAGGTGAATCCACGTTTTAACATTACCGTCCTCCTCAGTTCGGAAAGGAGGTGACCACGAGCATGGTTCAGCAACGCTGCCGACTCAATCGGATATCTAACTGGGCTTGCTCATCTGCAGCACGCTTTGAGAAACTGCACTGCTGTTCCGGCTCCCTCTGCGGGATTCCCCACGCAGCCCCCTGGATGCCTACCCCACTCCCACGTACATGCATAGGGACGCATTAATGCTTACATACAATGAACCAGAACAATCGCACTTCAGCGCAGAAAAAGCTATTTGAGGATGCCCAGACATCTCACTGACAAACACCACTGAGAAATTTGGGGGTCGACAGGGTTAACACGTGGAACTGCCATTACCAGATCTTGCTATACCGCTGTCTCTGTCCTCATTCTGCTCCCTCCCAGGCATATCCATAGGGTTGCTGTGAACTGTAAAACAAGGAATACCAATTAGCAGGGGAATATACAGTTCCTTTCTTGTTTGCAGATCTCCATGTAATTAATGAAACAAAAACATGCTCATTAATTCAGATCAACAGCACTGCACAAGGCCATCACCAAGAAAGGCTGCTTAGCTGAACAAGCCAAAACACTCCTCTGAAAAGCCTGGATGTATTTTTCTCCAGCCCATACACCTATTTGAGCACGAACTGAAGCTGGTACACGTTGTTTCTTTACGCAGATATTTTTCAGTGAAATTTTAATGTACCGAAAGGATGTTGGTCACATTCTTAGTACTCGGTGTACAGACAAAAAACCCACCAAAAAGCAATACAAACACGCCTTCATTCATACACCAGCTTTCTTGGGTATTACAGATATTATTTCAAAAGGATTTTACAATGCTGCCTTGAAGACAATAAATACTTTTAAACTGTGAGCAGTACATTGGTTGTTCAACTAAGCTGTCCAGATTCACAGTCTGCATATACACAAGATCAAAAGTGTCTCAGGCTCAATAGTCTTTAGGTGTGATATATTTTACAAGTGTGTGTGTGAAATAAAAGCTACTCAGCCATGGAAATAAGACCCAGCCACTAAAAGCAAGAAATGTCCATTCTAAATGAACCTAGGTTGGCTTCCGTTTTTACAGTTTGGTTGAAACAAGTCCAGATCACTACGTGAAATATTATTTCCAAAAATACGAAATCCACCATTAGATATATTTGTTTCCAAAACAACACAACCAATCCACCCCAACGAGGACTATTAAAATGCCTGCGGTCCTCTGGGGATTTAAAGCAGCTATCCAAAAAGGCAAGGGAGCAGAGACCACTGTCCGTTTTGAATTTGAAACCAACAAAAATCTTATTTCCAGGGCTAAACTACAAATCCACACGGGTTTGTCACACAGCTAGACTAGCCACACCGCACAGCACACAGCACACTGCAAACCTGCAAAGAAAGAGGCGCTCCGGATCAGGCGGAGCGGACCTTGCTCTGAGAATGCCCGCCTAGGGCTGCAAAGCTGTGAAAGACCTACATGGCAAAACGTAAAATACACATGAAAGAATGAGGTTAGTAAAGCAGAACAGTCTGCAGGGAGGGGGCCAGGGCAGGGAGAAGATACAAGCCAAAATAAATGCAGACTTAACGTATGCAGGAGAACAGCTCTTAGGCTTAACAAGAACGTTGATTCAAGGATACGGCTTACAGTGAGACTATATAGCATTTATAAAATTAAAATAATAGACCCAGCTTTACACTGTCTCCCATACAAGGATGGGGTTTCTCTCCAAGGGCTTTTTTTTTTTTTTTCCCCCCAAGCTGAAAAATGATTAATTTATGCAGGCTCAAAGCCTAACTCAATCACAAACAGGAGATTCATGGTGGAATACAATGTGTGTTTTAACATCCGCAGTGGTGGGGTGGCTGAGGAACGCCGTTTGCTGGAGACGACAGGGAGGAAGGGGGAGAAGGCAGGCAGAAATTCATCTTAGCAGAACCAATAGGAAATTATAGGCTAAACAGTCAGCACATCAGTTTAGTGAAACAATCATATAGAACGTCAGTGTTAGCAGTCTCAGCAGTTCATTTAAAAAGTAATACTGGGTTGTAGACATACCAGGGAAAAGAGGATATTTACTGTACAGGGAGCCAGGAAAAACGCATGGGTATTTTTAATGAGTTAATTGCCAGTCCCTCTCCTCAGTTTGAAGCTACTGCTCACTCAAAGGTTTCTGATTATACAAAACATGAGGGCTGCACCTCCACAAAGCCCCCCTTCTATTCTCTTCGGTCTTCACTCACTAAAGGACAGGCCATGACTGGTCCTGCCTTTTTATTTTTGTTTAAACCAGCGTATCTAAAAAAAGCAGCTTGTAAATAGTTCCCAACCAAAACACATAGACCCTTCTCCTACCACAGAGCCAGTGAGTCAGGAGCAGCCTTTGCTGTTGCAGTTGTTGGAAACGCTGCAGTTACAGATTAACTTCTCCGCCTCCCCTCCCCGCGGCTCCCCCCGCGCTGCGAGGGGAACCCTACCCCAACACGGCCGAACCGGCCGAGAACTCGCGCAGCTCAGCGGCAAAAAAAAGCTTCAGCCGTCTCGTCCAGCAGCAATCCCGGTGCTTCCCGGCGCATGCCCTGGCGCCGAGGTGCCGACACCTCCCCGCCAGCTCTCAGGGCTGTCACCTTTTCTGCCCGCTGGGGAGAAGTCACCCTCACGACAGAGCCGGACCCAGATGAACACGTGGCGCTGGCTACGCCTCAATCACCCTGAGTCCGCACCGAATAGCTGCATTATCTGGATTTGAACTTGCAGTTTAAATCACACCGGTGATACAGGCAACTTTTGCCCAGCGCAAAGCACAGCAAAACCCTGAAAGCTGATGAAGTGACTTCCTCTCTCTTAGATCCAGCACCTCATTCATTCGTGCACTGTCAAAAATGGCAACTGAAGTCTGAAAGGAATGCTGAATATCAAGAAAAATGCATCTTTTTAACTCTCCTGACTTAGTGAATTCAGGAAACATTTAATAGACAATAGGTTCTTCCAGTTTTAATTGGCTTCCCTGATAAATGGACTATAGAGAATGACTTTAATGAGGTATACAGCTTTTGAGCCTGAAAAGCATTTAAGTCCATGCTTAGGTGTAGTTTTATCAAAGTCAGCGTGAAGGGGAGAAGTAAACAGACCCAACAAGAACTAGGACCATGTCAAAGCCAGAAACCCAGTTAGAGTAACAAAGTCATCAATTCACCTCTTGCTTCCGACCCCAGAAAAGCGTATTTGACATACAGCAACGTGCTGGAAAGCAAACGTAAAAAGCCGCCCCTTATTCCACCTGCTACAACAGATATTTGCTTGGAAGGTCAACAACCTAAAGCAAGGGAAAGGCAGGACGTGCTGAAGAGCTCATCAGGCAACCAAGGACAACCAAGCACTGAAGTACAGTATTTTTACTACCAAGCCCTACTGTCCCCAGGAAAAGCCAAACCTCACCAACATTAATTTACTGTTACATCTTTAACTTTTTTTTTTTCTTCCTTAATTTGATTCTTTTCAGAAGACTTTCATAATTCAAGAATCTATGTTTATTCAAAGACATCAGGAAATAAAATCTGTTTGTAATTACCTATATTCCCAAGAAGTCCATTCATAATTGTACTGTGGTCAGGCTTTAACGTATTGCTGTCTTGATTAATGAACTCAAGACTGTCCTGCAACCTACAACAAAGAACACAAAACATACAATAAAAACAGTGATTTGCATTTCAGTAGAATATAGTGTTACTTCACTACAGCCCTAATGGAACGGACAAGACAAGAACGCAGGCTTCCACCACAAAAAGCCTTCAGAGCCTAAACCACATTCTCAGGTGGCTCAATTCATACACAGAAAACTAAACACTGACCCCTCTGAAGCCAGATGGTTTTGTAACACCTTTTTCTTCATCTTGGACTGAATTCCCCAGCCCCAGAGTTCCGCCCTCATCCTCCTTTGGTGGCTGCAGGTACTTTTGCACCTTACAGTATCAAGCTTCACCTCACCAGCATTAAAGGAAGGGTTCATTCATTCACTTAAAGTGAATTAAGGTGAAGACAACCGCCAGGGAAAGGTGAGGACACCAGTGACAGGATGTAACAGGTTGGGGAACAAGACGTTATTTTTCTAGAGAAAGAACCTGGAGGATCAAAAAAAAAAAAAAAAAAAGCCTTCCGTGTTCTTACATTCATCTGCTTATGGGCAACAGATAAAATCTGTAATGGACTCACGTATTCAGGCTTCCGTAGATGCTGCTTCCAGTGCGAGCCGTGAAGACCTTGCTGAGCATGAGCTGAGGAGGTGAGCTAGAGGACAAAACAGAAGACGTCAGTCAGAAACACGGTGCCAAGGCAGGCTTTGCTTTCCATTTCACAACCCTCCAATTTTATAGACCCAAACACAACATAACAGCCTTTTGTGTCAAAGGTGACATCCGAATAACCTTAAAGCAAACCCAGAAATGCCTTTTACTCCGCACTCATGCCTTTCAGTTCATTCCATATCAGGACTAAGGAGTAAGTCCTCTGAAAAGACCAGCAGCAAAAAAAATTAATCTTACCGGATCTGGTGAATTTTCAACGTGGAGCCCTTGTAGCTCATGGCCACAGAGCCAAACATCATCTCTCCAAGCATGTTAGCATCTGAGGAGCACCGAGAACCCTGCAAAAAAAACCCAAACCCAAACCAAACACATTTGGTTTTAAGCATTTTAGACGTACACTTCTATGAAGGCAACAACAGCTTACGGAAAATGCTCTTTATTTAAAAGATAAACACGCAAAATAAATCTTGCTGTAACCCTGTTGGACGTGCTGAGTTGAACAGTTCAATGAAGATAACGCTAGCACAGAAAGTGATCTTCACATGGGCTGCGAGCTAAACCACTAAAATCACCCAACAAACCGAACCCATCGACAGGGGGTGAGAGGAAGCGGATTCAAACTGCGCCGAGCCAGGGGACTAAGAAGTTTTAAGAGCGTGATAACACACTTCACTGAGTAAGAACCACTAAGCCGACACCTCGTGTCTGCCTGACAAGGAGAATCACAAGTTCACTGAAGATCTTGCGCAGACTGGGCACTGGAGCCAAGCTGGACCAGTGCTTTCTTACAAAAAGCGATTCATAACTGATCCGTTGATGGTGTTTTATCCTTGATGCACCTCTCCCCAGTGCTCCTGTGGCGGTACCAGCAAAGAGCTGGAGCATCACGATGCCAGGCTTAAGCTGTGCAACCCCTGCTCCTTGGCTGGTGAGAGCTCGCTGTAAGGCACACTGGCTAAACCCGAAGGAGGAACGTTGCCGTGCCACATCACAGGCGAGTTCAAATACTGCAAACAAACACCTAAAATTAAAAAGCTACTCGAGGCAACCAACTGGAGATGACTACTCAGCTGAGAGTCACCTTATTTGTATATTTTCAATGACTGAGATTCCTGTCCCTTTACCCAGGGCTGTTTCACCTCCAGGCTGGCAGAGCATTAGTGCTGGCTCTCCATTTGTGCCTTGCCCTGAATAGGTTAAAGTATCGTGATCACTCGCTCACAGGGCTCAGGCAGTTCACAGGTGAGGTACTTGGGTACTGTGCAAGAGAGCAACACATTCCCTTTGAGGTGCATGATAACCAATAACACTTCCTTAGAGCAATCCTTCCAAAAGGTCCCTAAAACCAGTCACAGAAATAACCTTGTGTTTGGAAAATGCTAAATGCCGTATATCTCCATAACCAAGCTCTGAACAACCAGGATCCTCACCAGGCTCGGAATATATCTAAATATTTTCCCCACCATCAGCCAGTGAGCTCAGAGCACAACCAAGGACAGGGTGTCCACACCACGGACTCCTTACAGCAGTAAGGAGTGACAGGAAAATGACCACTCGACGTTCTGCTCACGCTAGCCTGCAGAGCAAGGGCAGGAACAAGGAAATGCTAATCAGCGAAAAGGCAACACACTTGTAACACTCTTCAATTTTTAGCTCTTCTCAAGCACTCTCAATTAAGATGATGGTACTTTAACAGGCATACTATTAACCTCGGAAATCTGCTATCAGCGCAAGAAAGACAGGGGATGACTAAAAGAAGCAACCACAGTTACAAAAATGAGGATACAACTGCAAGGTTTGCTAGCGTTCCCATGACAGGGCAAAATCTGACCATCAGCTGGGTCTCAGAGCCATTTCCACCTTCACCTCCCAGGATACCACATTGCCTAGGTGCACTGTAGGCAGTACTGGAAAAACTAGACTTGAAAATCAGTCAGTATGACCCAGCAGCTCCAAGGAAATATAAGCATAGAAGTTAATGGCTCTAGGAAATGATAGGTCTGCCAGCATCCTGAAATCTTGAAGTAAGAACACTGCAAATTACTACAGCCAAATGTGACGATTGTTATTTTTAACCCCATTGCAGATCTCCAGTTGAAGGACTCATTCTGAACAAATGTCAAGCCCTGGATGGTTGGCTTGGGTTTCAACTTTCTGCAGTTGTGAAAAACCTAATCCTAAAGCTGAGGAAAACTCCTTTAAGATAAAGCATTGCTTTTCTTTGTCAAGCAAGCAAATTAAAGAAAGCCAGTGACAATCAGCTGCTTTCAAATTTAATTACAGGGGTTTCCCTTTTCCCTGAAAGACAGAGACAAGCAATGCTGAAGGCAAAGAGCGTGATAAGATGCACCCATGGCCTGTTTCAGTCTGGCATTTCATCTACGCTTAATAACAATAATCTTACCATGCATAACACAAGATGCACATATTTAATGTATTTAATATGGGAACACTGCCACAGTTCAACTCTTTGGGCCTCTAATGTTGCAAAATAAAAGTCACTCAAGACCAAAGTAGAGCGCAATCAACTGAGGAAAGGGGTTAAATATTAAAAACTCAAACAAAAAATAGCCAAGGAGCATCTGGCAAAAAGGGCACCACCTCCGGCACCGACAGCCTGGACACAAACCAACTCCCTAGGTCGTATTTACAAGCTCACATAAAAACTGATCATAAAATACCCACAAGTGTTTGTTACTTCACATTAGCATATTAGAGGTAGTAAAATCTGCATAATTTGGAAATTACATTTCTGAATATATGCACAGCATTTAATATTCCACTCACTGTACATACTGTCCTATCAATAAGTACATACATCTGTAAATTAAAAATGCGTTGCAGAAATAAACGTCAAATGTCGTGATCAACAAATCAGAGAGATTTTTCAACCCTGACTACACTGACAAGCAGGCACAGAGGTACCACTGGTGTCATAATGTGCAAATAACTGTGGGAAAGCTCAGAACCATATTCAGCTTCATCTTAATGAATTCTAATCACATTTGTGAGGGATCTGGATAGGACATAATTAAAAATATGAAAGCCGGGAACAAACCCCTGTATTTCACCTGGTGATTGAAGTTGCTCAAATATAGTCAACGTGCATTTAAACAATGAAACATAAAGAACTGTTTTAGAAGTCCTGTAGCATTGTATTATTTGGACTTCCATTTCATAGCTTCAAAAAACCAAACGAAAGAGCTTATAAATCCTGCAAATACACTAAGTAACTTCTGAAGTTACCAGATACAGCAGTCAGAAGTTCGGAAGTGCCAGCCTGACTGACGTCTGGGCAAACTTACTCCGGCCCTTCTGCATATACAACACAAAGTTTTATTGTGCAGTAAAGAACTCTTGTATTTATGGCTCCCTGCTCACTTGCTGGAGAAGCCTGGAAGGAGCGCGGGGAACACAGCAGGCAGGTTACAAGGAAGATGCTGTGGAAGAGCAACTGAAGGCAAAGTTTCTTGCCCACCTTCTGTGCTGGTCACACAGCCACACATCATTTCAGTCCAAGTCAGTCAGATTTTGCCCAAGTGATATGTGTGAGGAAAATGGGGACTTAAAAGGGAAAACTTTCCACAGCTTTAAAATACACTGTCAGGCCAACCACTGAAATTAATTTCCTTTAATAACGTTGACCATTGTTTGCACCGAGCCTGCCCAGTAGGAGAGAGCATTTCTGGATAGTGGGGGGGGATCATTTTTCTTGGTCACACAATGCATGAAGGAGGTTATTTTGTGCTGGAAGGAAGCTGCTGACAGAAACATCTCCTCCTTTCATAACCGCAGCTAAACGAGGGAGGAATGGAAAACAGATCTTCAGCCACCTTACTAAAGCTGTGGAAAAGAGTGTGAGGAGAAAGAGAAAACAAGAATACACAGCTCGCCAAATATAGCAGGAGCTAACGTGCCAGTGGGAAAGTCAGCACTGAAAGGTTCTTCATTTATATCTACGGTAGATTAAGACATCAGTAGTACTGTACTTCAGAACAGGCTGTGGAGATAGCAGCTTCCCTCAAACACACAATTACTTCATTACAAAGAGTGGAAGGGCTTAGTTCTATTTTAGGGTGGCTTAATATAAAACACTTGTGATCCATGGAAGGAGAGATGACAGAAATATATCCGTGTCAGATGACTCTAGCTACTCTCATGGCCAAAATCTCTTATGTAAAATGTAACTCAAGTGCACTGAATCCCTTGTTATAAAGCCCTTACGCAGACTATCCCTGTAGACAGCATGTTTCTCTGTTATTCCCCTGGCATTTAGCAATAAAGTAAAATAAACCACCTCATCTATACCAAGATAAGATAATTGTGCCAAGTCTGATCGTACCGAATGAGTGTTATCACCAGGGTCATAAGACAGAACAAATGCCCCGGAGAAATTGCTGCCATTCAAGACGCATCCCGAGAGAACCAGCTGGTTGGTTTCAGACTTGTTCAAACCCAAAGCTACAGAATTAAACATTACTGACTCAGAACCAAAGTTTGATTTTGACTGAAAACTGGTCTCCACCGCCATCCTCTAATTTCAAGCATTTTTAAACACTCAGTACTTCACCTGCCATTGGTATGTGACACGGGTTATGCAAAAATTTAAATAAATAAATAAATAAAAGGAAGAGTGACTCACCTGGTATTTTGGGCATTGTTCTTTTGGATCCGAGAACGAGGAGGATGAATTGATTGAACTATCCAAGGAAGAGGAGCTGTCTCCTCCGGGCTTCAGTTGGCAACACTTCCCAAAAACTCTCACCTGAGCATCGCTGCAGAGTTTCTGAAAGACAGACAAACATATGTGACACACCAAGACCCACGACCCGAAATCACTGTTTAGCATCATTGCACTTAGCTGTTTAGGTAAGATATTTAACAACTGAAATACTTATGCCCCAGGAAAACAGTTAACAGAATATTTATTAGCAGCCTGGCTGTGCGAAAGAAAGCTGAGCTTTAGCCAGGGGCTAACAGGTCACTCCAACTCCATTTTCCTAAGCAGCCATCCGTCTCTGAAGCTTTACAAGTAACTTTTTTAGACCCAGGATTAGGAGAAAGGAGAGTACCAAAGCATTTAAAGGAAGGATGGCAACAATAGTCTCCAGCTGTCCCCATCTTGCTCCCCTGTGCCCACTGAGGCAAAGGTGACCCAGCAGTGCGACAGGCACAGCCCTCCTGAGCGATGATACCAGGCAGATCACGACAAGGAGCAGCTCATGATGTACACGAAAACACACTGAATAGGAATAATCAAGCAAGAACAACACAGAATTCAGGAGAGATTCACGTTACAAGGATATGTGGAGAGAAAAGATACTATTTTTATAGATCTCTCCCTAGCTGTGTCTAAGTCCCCTGGTCTTTCAAAGAGTGGCACAGAGGTGACATTTCTCTCGTTTTCAGCACGAGGGAATTGCGAGGCTGAAAATGGACAAAGCTGAAAAACACAGTTAATCTTACAGAGAAGCCAGAGAAGTTTCACAAAACGATGCAGAAATGGTCCAAGGAGCGATTTCTCACAGCGATTCAGACCAAAAGCACAGCAAAAAAGGGAATCAGGAGGGCTCAGATGGAGCTGGAACTGATGTACAGGATGGGTAGGATCTGTGTCCGCTCTACACATGCGGTGTTATCTATCCCTGGCATGGGACATACTCCACAACTGTTTCGTTCAGCATTTAAAAACATCTGCCATTTCCCCCGTGAACCTCAGCATTCCAAGCAGAATCAGCATCTGAGTCAGTTAATGCCATTTACACCAGCATGAGACAACCCTCTTCACCTGAAGATCTCAACATATTTTTCACATACTCATTCCACTCCAACACACCCACGTAAGGTTGGCATTATTTACATTTCCTAGTGGGCAGCACTAGGAGACACAAATAGTCTACGCTGCTCAAAATTACACATCAACTCTGCCCGAAGACTTTGTTAATTAGCATTTCCTACACAGTCACCAAACCAGTAAGAGCAAGCTGGCAAACCCTACTGGAAGCAAGCTTCAGCAGACAGACAGAAATCCAGAAGTGCTGTTACATGGCACAGCTTCACCTCTGGACTCGCAAGTCCACACCGCAAGCTCCCCCTTCATTCAAAAACCTAACTATGTCTCAATCTTTAATAGCTACGAAACAAAGGAAAAGGCATAAAGAAAAGTGTGAAATACCCAAGGCACAGGGTGGGAACTTCATGACTCTGCTCAATAATCAGCACCAACTGTACAAGAAGATGACTGCTCTTACTGCTGTAGAGGGATTTTAATGAGGGACAACATGGGACTCCCATGCCTCTGTCCTAGGGCTGTGCATGTCACTCTTTTTTTGGCTAAATCTCACCCACAGTTAGGGACAGGTGACTTTTATTTGGCCCTAACTGTGGGTGAGATTTAGCAGAACAGCAGAAAATGTCAGGGATTATCGAGCTCCAAGCAGCAGCCTGCCCTGCTGCTCCCATTAGAGAGCTGCTGCTGCAGAAAGCCTTAAGGAAAAAATGTGCAGACAAATCAGTAATTCTGTGGCAGAGGGGAAGGAAGCGTTCACTAGTGCTGAGTCCTGTGCTTCTCTGTCACATACAGCCTCCCATAGTAGTGTCCTCTCATTACGACACCGCGGTGAGTACGTTGAATTCATGCAATATGTAGATTGGCTAATGGCTTGTATCTGCGGCTTGAGCACAGTACACAATGGCTGGAACATGTGAATGATCATCATATGACTTCAGTAGGAACTCGTGAACTAGAATTGCATTTTATCTCTGACACAAACAACAATGTCCTAGGCTAGGCAAGCATCATGTGATAAAACCACATAAAATCCACAGGGTTACAGAAGCTTTTGCAGGCAAACCACATTTCAGCTTGCCTTTTCCATCAGATGTTGAAAGTTCCTTCTCAAAAAGTTACAATTAGAACTAAGCTTCCTTGAGACTGTAAAGCCAGTAAATGCGTTTCTACAGGTGAAAAAAAAATTCTGTGCATTTAAAAAAATAGGCTAAGTTTGCAAATTACTCACTTTTAAATCATTTCTTCTTGTGATCACTGCATTTTTCTGCACAGCAGCTTTCCCCGGATCCACTGGGGAGTCTGGTATCTTGAAGTAATAGTTGCCTCATTTAAATAGCAAAGCAGGAAAATGGCCGTTTGGTCTTTGCAGTGGAGTTTAATGAACCAAGACTCCTGCAAGGAGTCTGTAAAGGAGGTCAGGATCTTTCAGACACCACTTTTCTGAACCCTGTGAATCCCTCCTAAAATGCACTGATGAATTCTGGTGTTTGCTCTTTTATAAACTTAGGATGTGCTCAAGAAGAACCTGTTGGACAACGAGATCAAGTACCTGCAATGCCCCTCTCCTCTGCAGTTTCTGACTCAAAACACCAATGATATTTTAGATGCCACAAATCTCAAGATACTATGCATCAAAGGAGTGGGATTGCTTGCATTCCAATATAGTATTCCAAAGATATTCAAGTCAGGTTTCCAACTATTCAAAGGTAACCTAATTATTTTAAAACTGCACAGGGGAAAAGTTTCAAAGCGGTGGATTTTCTTTCCGAATAGATGTAGTCGCAGCAACTCAGATCCCTGGGCAAAGTGCTGCTGGAGCCCTCCGAAACGCTCACATTTGCTGGAGAGCAGAACCTCTGCTGGAAGGATGCCGTGGGCAGCTGCCGCTCCTGGCTGCCACGCTGCTCTCCCCGCTGGGGTCACACTCTTTGTTCTTTCCCTGCCAGCTCGCTGCAGATACCGCCCAGCTCCAAAGACTTCCTGGCAGTCACAGTTCTTACATTCGAGGTCATCATTTGCTGAAAGTCTTGGAGACCTATCGGGTAGTACTGGAGATAACTTAGAGTAAAATGTCTTTACAGTACGACAGGGTACAAAGTAGTTTTATTCTACGGTTCAGCTTCTGGAATCTCTTTTCTCCTCCTCTATCAGCAAAGACCTTTAACTCTTTGCCACAAGGTCTATAAATTCCTCAGTAAGTGAAAAGAACATGCCCAGTGCTGTGCACAGGAAAGGACTTTCTGCTGGGCCAGTTTTGGTTTGGGGATACTAAGAAAGTTGAAAGGAGCCTGGTGTGTTGAACTAAATCCAGATTCTGTGTGTGTGTGTGTGTAAGGGCTGTGAGTGACACAAGGGAAGAGAAACGTCATCATATGCTTTACTCTTTCCTACCTCTCAGCAACAGCAGGTGCTGAAATACCCCTGTGATGGTAGCGATAGAGAAATCTGTATTTCCAAGCAAAGTCGCCACTCTTCAAGAGTACCTCATTTCTAGAACAGGTTTTTCAGCAAAGCTGAAAAATTATTCCAAAATAGATAAATTAACTCTTTTGCTTTATTAATATGCATTGGTCTGAACGGGTAATTAAATGTAAGCATCCACCTAGGACATGAGAATAGCCTGACAGGCATTCATTCCTTCCCTTCAAGTGCTGCTGTAAAAATTCAGGTATCTTTCTTAAAATGCAGCTGTCAAGTGCTACATTCTCCCTTCATTTCCCAAGTTGACCGGTTCCTCTATTACTTAGAGGTCAGTCAAAGAAGTAAAGGCAACCCTAGCCTCCCCCGCTCCACTAGTATTCTTCCATTTCTGTTTAGAGAGAATAAGCAGAGCTAAGAAGGCAGGACTGGGTCCCTGTGCTTGCAGCTTCTTCTGGCTGCTCAGCCTGGCTCACTGGAAACCTGTCCACCGAGAGCCAGAGGGAGACCAGAGAGTCTCCATTTCACACAACTCACCTAAAAGCAAAAGGCTCACTATCCAATTACTAATCCCTCAAAGCAATTTGCTGTTCAACATTTATCCAGCGCTGAAGTATAATAGAACACGTGGCTAATCCTGGCTTGTTTAAAACAGCACGCTGTTTTTCTACTTTGGGATAAATATGACATTTGGAGTGAAAGAAATTGCCGCAGCAGGAGATCAAATATCATATGACCTTTCAGCTAAATTATCCCAAAGATAAAGACAACTAGGTTACATGACAAAAGGGAACTTCTCGCTCCTTAAATCCAAGTACACTGTTGCACCTCTAAATCTCAAATTCTGCGCCCCGGGCCACTCTATCTCTTCCGTTTCTTCAAAAACCCAAAACAAACCCTGCTTCTGAATATCCTCTTTCTGCCTCTGGGTCCTGCAAACCCTGCCCCTTTCTGATTCTTTGTCTTACCCCCTTTCCAGCCAAACCACCCAAGCTCTAGATCCCTGCTCAGTGCAGTGCACAGCTTGGCTCTTGTTTTCTTTCCTCCCTCCTCTTCCTCACGGCCCTGTGACACCCCTTCTCCTCCCTGGACTCCACATCTTCCTCTAGGCTGATCTTTAGACTTAGGAAATCTTTTTGCTTCTTCCACGCCCATCAGCACCTCTCTTCCCTCAAACCCCGAATGGTAACCACCGCCTTGTCGTAAGCCACCGGTGGACAACGTAAAAGGGAAAATGTGTGGTTAAACAAGAGGGCTAACCCCTGTCCCTGCTCCGAGGAAAGCCCTGACACAAGGTTCTCCTTCCCAGCTTCTTCTTTGGTTTACTCCCTACTTCTTCCTCATGGCCCCATTTCTGCAGCACCCTTATCCCAGCCGATGGCTGGCCCTTGAGGAAAACTCCTCGCACTCCAGCTGGCCTTTGCGCACTGATGTTTATGGCGACACAACCCCTGTGCCGCAGCGCGGCAGCGGCACGGTGAAACACCAGAGCCTTCGCGCAAGCTTAGCGCGAGTGCGGCGTCAAGGTTGAGAAGCCAAGCGCAGAGGGGTCAGGAAAGGCAGAGCCAAGGCTGAAAGCTCAGCACTGGCCGGGCCACCTGGCCTCTGCACCTTAAAAAGGAAAAGGAGCTGCTTGTCACGCTTGGTTTGAAATTCAAACCGGGCCCCGTATCACAGCTCTTGGAGGAGTGTACCTGCGTTCACACACGGCTCCTGGCTCGGAAACGCAGTACAACCCGACAGGGTGGATGCATGCGGGACCTCGCAGAGAGGTGAGCGGGGCTGGTGGTACACACGAGCGGAGGGGAGGTGCCCGAGGAAAAGGAGCAGACAAGCACAGAAATGAGTCTACTAGTGGAAATCAGTCATAGGTCGTTAACGCTATCACCTGCAAATCAAGTCATACAGTCTCATTAGAAACCAGACGCTTATTAGCATGAGGAACGAACTCTGAAGTAGCTCTCTAGAGGAGACAGTGGATCAAACCCACGAGCTTGCCCACAGAAGCACTTCGATACCCAAAAATCCAAGGGATGTGGCTGTTTGGGTGGGGACTGAGGCTGTAGTAAAGGCCTCAGGAACGTCTACTCCTCACGCCACCCGCCGTCCTGGTCTACTCGATATTCAAATGCCTGTCCCAATACATTTGCCCAGCGTCACAGGGCTGGAAAGGGCAGCCACTGTCTTCTGGGATACCCTGGCAGAACTCAGGCAGGGGAGTTACCCAATTTTCTGGTGCTGGTGAGGCAGCAGCCTTTTGGCTCTGCTTACAGAGCCCAGTTGATCAATAGCCCCCTAGAAAACCGGGGAAGAACCTCTCCTGCTCAGCACCAAAAAAGGTATAGGACTCACAAAGGGGATCTCTGCCTCCCCGCCTCGTGCCAAGCGCCCACAGCTGCCTAAGGCGGATCTCTCTGCCTGGCCTTGGTGGAAACGCCTGGCACAGCCTTTGGCCAACATTCCCGGTGCGGTGGCCGCCAGCCCTCCGAGTCACCAGACTGCTTCTCAGCTTTGCTGGCCAAGTTTAACTCTAGCAAGACCCAGGGAAAACATTACTTCTCCTGCACAATTAAAATATTTTAATGGCCACACTGCAAACTTTCAGCTGCCTTCTGTCTGTCTGTGTGCAATACTCTCCCAAAATTCTTGTTTACATAACATTTGGCTTTACTGAAGACATGAAGAGGCTGATTTAATGTCCAATGAAAACACAAAATCCTTATTTGTGTTATAGTCACATTTCCCTCACGGATAATATGAACCTAGCAATGCTTTAATAATTAGAGCCCAGCTTGGCGTGAGCACAAACTCTGCAGTTTTCACTCATCAAAAAGTCAGAGCCTACTGTTTTACTTCTTGAAACATCTGGGCCTGGAAAAGTTTGCTCTGATGCTCCTTAAATGTTACAACCATAGCTTTCTTTAATAGAGTTCAAATGACTGAGCCATATTCAACCTTGGTCCACCACACACAACTCTTGACATATGTAGAGATTAGATACATAAAGCAAAGCAAAGCGTATCTCACCTTGCTGCAGGCATACTACTCTTAAATTTTAATTGCTTTCACATCCCGTAAGCAACAGAAAACGGGAACTGAAGAGCACAGCAACATAAAGCAAACTGAAACCCTCTTGGTTCTCCCCATTAGACTGATCAGACTTCAACCAGAACAGCCCGGCCACCGCCGGGCACTCTTGCAAACCTCCCCGCTAGCGTTATTTGCAAACCCAGAGGTATAAGTCACGTTAGGAAATGGGGGGGGAGAAGAGCTGCAGAAAGCGTTGGCCTCCGTGGGGTGGTGAACAGATACCCTTTCAGAAGGGAGAGCGCCCAGCCCACACACGTCTTGCTGCAAAAGGGCAAAAGTGCCTTGGAATGTGCTTAGAGCCAAGATCTGGCTTTGTATAGGCCGGGTGTGTCTTTGTTAATGAAAATCATGATAAAGAGCAAGAAAAATAAACAAGGCAATTCCTTGAAAATGGCCAGGACGCACTGCTAACTGTGCAAGCCTGTACTGAGCTCACAGCAAGCCAAGCTGAGGACTAGCCTGCACGTTTTTACCTGCACAAGGTTTCTGCTATTGCAAAGTTTTGTTGTACGAGGAAAGTTTTGCCTGACATGACGTTATCTGAGTGTTGTAGAAGGCAGGTATCATGGCCAGCAAATGTTTCAATTTATATTCTCTTTCAAATAACACCACAAAAAAAGAAGAAATGTATGAAGTCACTAGAAATGACTACTGGGAACAGTCTTCCTCCACCAGTCTCACATACACCATCTCACAGAGATGGTGAATACAGCTATTTCCCTCCCCCTTAGCAAAGAAAAATAAATGAGAGATTAATATGGACTCGTATGAGCTTCATTATCAGCCATTTATTCTATTGCTGTGGAGCTGTCACAGTCAACGACCTTTCTGAAACAAACCAAAACAGTGGACTTTGCAAGTGCACTGTGCAAGTACAGATCTATCTTAAAGAGGTTTCAGGCTTTCAATAAATCGATTGAAATATGGCAAGAGGATTTATGCGGTACAACGTCTTTTTCATTAATGAAGTAATACTTTATAATTAATGAAGTAATAGTAATAAGCATAGCCAGCAATTCGCACCAATAAACCACTTCTAAAGATCTCTTGCCTATAAAAACCTCTTTTCCTGGCAAGAACACCTAAAAGAACAGGAACTTATAAATTATAAAGCCATTCTAACAAGTTGAAATTAAAAAGAAAGACACAGTCTGTTCCACATTTGTGAAACTTGCTTTACTTCACAAATTCTCAAAAAACCCTAGGAAATTGGGATCTTGATCCACGGCTATAAAAGCACTGGAGAAAGCCTGGAAGTTAGTGCCTGAGGAGGCACAAACTGACTCCCTGAGGTTCAGATATGTGGACAGAGGAAGCACTCAGGACCAGGACGAGGAGCATCAGGCTGGCAGCACCCAGCAACAGGCCGGAAGAGTTTACAAAGCTGGATGGATGAAGAACCTTCTGGCCGTACTTCAAGGCCCAACAGGAAAACCAGGGCTTGGGGGTAGGATGTTACTTTGTGTACTCTTGCTTACAGAACTTAGTAGGTCCTACGGGTAAAAGCAACTGGGATCATAAATTTGAGTTCACACGGTGCCTTCCGCTTGCAGAGCTTAAAATGGTTTGCAAATGTTTTTAGAGATGGTGAGAAGGAAGTTCAAAGCAGCGAAATAAGTTGTCCAGCCTCACGCAACCACTCACAATAGCACTGTGGCCAGAAATTAATCTGCCCTTAGAAGAAGTATCCTCATCTGACTGCATCCAGTACAGTTTCAATTAATAGATGACCATGCAGATCATGCCAAAAGGAAAAACAGAGGAAAACTTTTCAAGTAACGTTGTGTGAAAAAACTCTCAGCAAAGCACAGAAATGACTGGCAAAAGCTACTCGAACAGGACACAAGAGGACACAGGACTGGGAAGACCGTCTGATTAAGAACACAGACCCCCCCCATGGCATTAAAGCACATCCGTAAGCATCAATTTATCTCCTGCCTCAGCCCCCACCATTGCCTGCTGCAGCCCCAGGAAGGAATCCCTCTCTCTGAACGAGCGGCAACTAGAGGAGCCCAGGAATAAAGAGATCACTACAGTATTTAAAGCTGTTAAGAGTGAAATCACTGAAGCCTGAATAATTTGCAACTTAACAGGCATTTAAATATAGCCTTGTATATAACTGACGTTTAAATGTTAATGTGAATAAACCAGAACACTTGTGATTTATCAATCTCGCCATTTTAAAAAATACAGACTATGTAAATAGTAAGATACTCACCGACACCGAAACATCCTCTATTTTTCTTTTAGCACTGGAGTCAAATAAGACATTCCGTCCTCTTCTTTCGCAGTCCTGATACACAATCAGTCGGATCTGACTTGGGTCAAACTCCGGCAAAGGCCAGCTTTAATTAAAAAATAAAAGAGGAGAAGGATCAATTGCCACAACTCTTTATTACACTGTTCTTTCTACATTATCTGTATATACAACTTTATTAAACCATAAAGCCGAGCAAACGCAATGCCATTTCATCAAACCCTTTGATCCCGTAGCCAGAACCATGCCTTTTGGTTTTTTCTTTCCCCTACACTTGCTAGATTGCACTGTCATAAACAGCACCAATCTACTAGAACCATACACAGCGATGTGCGCAGCATTACTAGCTCTCGTGCTCTGTTTTGTGATATTCAATGTTTTCTTCAAGTTCCAGCTTTTTGAAATCAAAAATCACAGAACTCAGCTTTCGCGAGAGAAAAAAAGAAGAGAGTCCCTCATCATGGCAAGCACTGGCTTGAAAGTGTTCACCATTGATGAGAGGGAAAAAATAAAAATATATTCACACTGGCCTCTCCCTTAAGTAACAAATTTCTTCATTTGTAGCCATGGGTTTTCAGCCTCACAGGCTGGCAAAGCGCTGAACTCCACAGCTGAAAAAAAAAAAGCAAAGTACCTTCCCTACCCTCCTTCAGGCTTCACAAACACCGTGGTAACACCCGTGTACAGAACCAACTGCAGTATTAGAAATGACAACACTGATACTAACATACACGCTTTGATGCTGGAGAACAGAGCGCCACACGCAGCTCGGTCCTGACTATATACTCAGGTCCTTGTTACATTCAGACTCAGAAATAATCTTCACTTAAGCCACTGTGACTCAAGGCCACGCTGATGCAAGGGTCAGCAAAACAGACACAGCAGTCCTCTTCCAACACCCCTGTTCCCAAACTCGTCTTGAAGTCAGTAAAGAGGAAAGGAGCTTTCCTGAGCCTCCGCCTTCCCTAGCGCCACTGACTTCAGAGAAGCTCTGCAAAGGGAGAATTTGCAGGGCTCAGGCTTGAATACCATTGCATAATCTGGCCTTTAAGGGTGCTTGGTATTAAGGGCATCTTAACTTTCCATTTTAAAAAGCCAGCCATCGCTTGGAAGCCCAGCAAGCATTGTTGCCCACGGGCCTGGGAATCCATTTTCACTGATACGTTCTCCGTTCTTGAAAGATAGGAAACAAGACACCTGCTCTATCCACGAAACCAACAGGAATCATCTTTCAGGTAGTTACGAGCCATTTCCTAGATCAAGTGAAATTCTATCTTCCTTATCCTTGGCTTTTAGGCAAGCAGCGTTAGCAAGAAACCCCAAGAAGTGAGAAACGAGGCCCTGGAACTTTCCAGCCATTACTGAAGGATACAGGCTCCCAGTTTACAAGAAGGAGCTGTACGTTTACTTCAGCAAAAAGACATCCATAAGTGATAACATGGATTAAAGTAAACCTGGCATGCTAGACTCAAGACTATGGTAAATTTTCCTCTCCTCTGTCCCTCTAACTCACCAACCAAAAGGTTTCCTTCTCTGCGCCCGTGCTTTTTGCGATCAGTACGCTAATGACGATTTGTAACCCAACAACTTCTGTAATCGGAGACAGCAAAGGATCAATTTGATCACCAAAGCCATGGTGGCCCATCAGAAGTTTTTAAGACTGTCCAACATAGAGTCATAGGCTTTACAACTTGTGTAGTCCCAGCGAGGTGAAACTAAGCACCAAGACATACAGTTACGGGGCCTCTTGAGAGAGGAAATCCATTTCCTAATCTGCTCAGCCCCACCATTTAGCAACACGAGAGAAAAACAGAAGCTGCAGAGAAGATCGTGTGCAACAAATGTCAAAAGCAACTTATTACAAGAAAAAAGCTTGAGCAACTTGAAACTGAAATAACTTGCTGTCTAGATTTGGGGGCAAAGAGCCACGCACCCTCTCTGGACACCTAAAGTCAAGCATCGTCCCCAGAGGGACATGCCCACACGAAGAGCAGACTGCAAACTGAGCAAATGCTGTACCAAAACCCAAGCACAGTGACAAACTCGGAGCAGAGCTTAGCGGGAGCCCCATCTTGCATTTCAGAAGACGCAAGAAACCAAAATCCATATTGTTTTGATGCATATTTGGAGTGTTACCAACTGAGAGGCTCAAAGGCACGAGATCTGGGGACCGTTACTTGTAAGACCCTGACTTTGGCTAGAGGTGAGGAGGCAAGTGAGACCTGGATACACTGGCTTCCTGGAGGAACCACCTCCGTATATTCAAGCGAAATCAGTGGAAGTCTGAAAACTCATTTCATTTCCAGACAGGCCACTATGGTTCCTATAAAGAAACAGTATGTGACAGTAACAACGAACTGCTGGCCAAAAAGGTGCTATCGCTTGCTCCACCCTTGCACCGCATTTAAATTTCCTTCACACTCAGACAAAAGCATGTCTTCCATTACCTAGTACTTTTGATATTTGACTTTGAAATTACTGGCAAAGAAGGGCAGTAGCTGTTCCAGATCTTAGGAAAGTCTACTTATAAAAAGCTCCAAGAGCAGATTACACACTAAGAGGAGAGAAAGCTAAATATAAAACTCTTGCTGTACTCAGAAACATATTTGATCAAGGTAACAAGAGCTTGTTTACTTCTCAGCTTCTTCACATGACATTTCAACTTTCTCTAGACAAGCATTCAGTAGATAGTATCCACCATAATTTGTGATAATTCCAAATAAGCGTTATCGGTTACATAATAGAGTCCTTAAGCATATTTCAGCCTTGCAAAAACATTCCCTGGCACTAGCGGGCCACTTCCCAAACCAGAAGAAACTTTAAGAGAGCTGGGGGAAAGTTCACTCGACAGACAGTAAACAGAGGCAGACTGGCACCTCCGACTCACCCCCACCACCTCCCAGCGAGGCGCACTTTCTGGAGGAAGCAGGACACCACGTAGCTTTGCTGCTGCTGCTGTTAGCAGGTTTAAAACACTGTTAAGCGTGACAACTGGATCGATTACCCCCAGAAACGTACCAATTCCTGCGTGCAATACGCAGGGCACGTTCTGAAAACAAATGTCACAGGGCAATACTCCAGTGCTGCTCCTCAGCTGGATGAAAACTGACCTAGATCTTCTGAATATAATTGGTTCTGTTTATAAATGGAAACTCACTTTGACATTTAACTGATGTTTTCTTGAGATTCTTACAGGAAAACAAGGAGACACAGAATCAAATGTTCTAGCAACGTTAATGAAAGGTGAGTCTCCATCTCCCATGCTCTTCTGGAAATGACAGTTCTCTTAATGAGGACTTTTTCCTGCATGACCCATCCACCACTCTTTGATCTTGCCTTGAAACGGATTATATTTAAAGAATGAAAAAAAAAAAAAAACCCACCAAAAAGATCAAACAAAACAAAACCAAACCCAGAACAAAAAAACTTAAAACACACCACCAAGAAAAACCCAACAATCTTTTCACCAGTGGCAGCGTTTGTGACTTTGCCACACACACGGTTAGTGCTGTGAGTTCACGCATCAACCAAGAGTAAAAATGGTGGTAAATCATTTCTGGGTTGGACACCAGTCCTGTGGAGATCTCCACCACACAAATAGCGATTCTTCTAGAATGAGATGTTCAGAAATACCTAGATGAATAGAACAGGGGAGAAATCATTGATGTACAAATGCTGTGTGGGATATTTCCGAAACAAATCATTTAAAAACACAATCACAAACTGCTTGAGGCTGGCGGGGACTGCGGGAGGTCATCTAGTCCAACTCCCCTCCACAGGGGCTGAGACAAGTACAAAGCACAAAAGGAATGCTTTGGGACAGAAAGGCAAACTTCACATGAATAACGATGAAATTAATAGAAAGTAATAATAATGAAATCAAGGCCTGAAAAATGGTATTTTAATGCATGGTCGCACTTCAGCCCTATTGTTCAGCTCTTCTCCTCTTTCATTCATTTTGTTTTCCTGTCTTCAACCACTAGGAATATTATTTGTCCTTTACATTTACAGATCCATTACATGCTTCCTGGCACCTGTACTGCAAGCTGCATGGCAATCCAGAACTCCAAATGCTCTTCAAGGACGACTTTTCTCACATATCTAATTCCTGGAGTTTATTCCTGCCATAGACATTTCTCAGCAAGAGGCAACCGAATGGCTTTAAATTGCTATTACACTCTGTGCAAGTTCTAATAGATGAAACAACAGACACAGAAATCCTTCATTACCACTCCACCAACTAAAATACAAAATTTCCCCCTGTAACTGAAAGCACATACATTCCTTCGTTTCCACTACAACATGAACAGCACCTCTTCACTAAAGGTTTAGCTTAATACTATTTTTCCTCCTGCCTGAGACTTTACTTTTAAAACTATTTCATATTAACACAGCTTAGATAGTATCCGATTACTTTTTAATTATTAACAGATATTTTAGAAGTCTTCAAGAAAAGCAATTGAAGCAAACTGATCAACATATTAAGCAGGTAGGAACTGTAAAAGAGTTTGCTAAAAAGTAAAGTTGCTCAAAACCAGAATATGACTAATCATTGAAAAAGTAAGTTGAACCTATCAGTCAAGCTATTGTTTTCCTACATCATGTTACCCATAGTTATAAAAACTGCCTGGTGATGAATCACTTCGAACTATTTTTAAATGCATCTACGCAAATGATATTTATAGTTTATGCTAGCTTATCTGTTCTGCGTGGTTTTCATGTTGGCACCTTTCTAAAAGGCTGACAGAACAGCCAGGGAGAGCAGCCGGCAGGTCCACCTTGCCCCATGCCCCCCTCGCCGGGCTCCGCGCAGAGGGAACCATCTGCCTTGACTCCCATCAGATGAGCATCACAACGGAGGCACAAGGATCCCCAGGGCTTCTCTCCACCTCCTGCAGACGATACTCTTCAAGCATTAGACCCAGACAACTTCTACAGAAGCGCCGGACAGAGACTGTCCTTGCCTTGAGGTGCTGACGCTGTACAGAGGAGACCGTTCTCAGGGTGTGCTGGGATATTTCAGGTGCAGATTGATCTCCACGTTCCACGGAGATGTACAGTCACATCGAGGCACGCTCACCTGTACATACACAGCCTAGCAGTATTCAGGATCCTGCGACCGCTCTGTTATAGGGACAGGTGACCAGAAGCAGAGGGAAAATGGTCCCTGCCCAGTGCAACCATCGTATCGTACGCCTCTCACTCCTGAGATGCCTTCTCCCACAAGGGATTCCCTCCTCCTGTCCAAATTCCTCTGCCCATTTCTACTATCTGTTATTGGTTTGGCTTTGAGAAGATACAACAACAGTTGAGTATCTAGGACACACAGGGAGGGTACTGTATATATTTTAATACCTTCTTACTGCAATGCAATAATTCACTTACTATTTGACCATTATTGTACCAAGACAGCTGGGTAGACCTTTCTGAAAGAGCACAACTAATTTGGAAGCAATGAAAACAGCAATGTACGGCATGTTAACGATGCTTCCAGCTTTGGAATACCATCCATTAGCTTTTTAAAGAGGAATGGGTGGGTTTTTTTTTTTTTTTTCAGATAATAACACCTGAAACACAAAAAGAACTTTATCAGGATTCACATGATAAGGGTGATCCAGGCTGCATTGCTGATTTGCAAAGTTGGCGTTTTCACCAAGAGATTCCATTTCAATGCTGGTGACATAATATGACCATAAGGCCGTGAGGAGGAGGAAGATCCCTAAAACTAGAGAAACCACGAGGCCCATTCTTAGAAAAAAATTTACAAGGTCTTTACAAAGAGTCGAGGTCACTTCAGGACCGTGTGACTGTTGTGGCGAACGCCTGCCGATTCTGCAGAGAAAACTGGCGTTTGGGACTTGACGAAGGCCACGGAGGGAGCCCGTGACGATCGATGGTGGAGGAGTTTACCCAGCGCTCTGGGCGACGCCGCCCTCTGTCACTCTGACCTCAGCTGGGGCTTTGCAGAAGTCAAAGGACCTGTACTCTGGGGAGCTTGGAAGAACGGAGAGCTGGTGGATCATCTTGGGGACAACCAGCCATGATGGGTGACTGCTTGCCACGGTTACAGTTTTTCAGGTTCATCGCAAGGAAATAATGTTTCTTTAAAAAAAAAAAAAATATCCAAGCCATCCCCTTTTCACTTCTTGAAGGGGGGTGGCACGTCCACAGGCACCGCAGCACCGCAGAGGTCAGCTCCATGCTACTTCTGTAAATCTCTCGTTCATTTACCAGCTTAGCAATCCTCACCTTGAATAGCTGCACTGCTTGAGCTCCAGGAAACTTCTGCTGCTTATACTAAGCACATCTTGTACACTAGGCACATAGTCAGTCAGCCAGATATTTCACACTCGGTATAATAAACTTGGACCTAAACTTCAATTGGCTCCCAAGGTCCTTGGCTCTGTCTAATTCTTTAACTGTATATGAAGTTGACTTTAGTTTGTTTTAGCTTTTTTTCTCCTTTCTATCAAGTGACTTGGCTCCCATTAAGATACCTAATTTATACTCTAAAATCCAATACGTGAGCCAGATGCCTTTCCACAAGCAAAAAGACATAATATATACAGGTTAGGTGCAGTCTAGTCAACACATTACTCACAATTTGGAGTGTGATATTGAAAATAAGTAGGTTGGAAGGTTTTGTTAAAGACATGAGCACACTGAGTAACTTTGCAGTTTACACAGCTTCGGGGATTTACAATTAGTATTAGTAATTTCATAGAATATTTTGGGGACTACTTCACGTACGTCATTTCAAAAAGTACCTGTGCAGCTTTTAGCTGATTTAAGCACATATATGCATGCAAACATATGCACACACATGCACTCACACACAAGCTCCGTGCTTTTTTGAAATACCCGTTTTAATTAAAAAAACCACACACAAACAAGACACAGCTCCTTTCAGTTAAATTCACTAGCATTGAACACCATGTTTTATGTTATTCAAACAGACTGCATTTCCCCTTTGCAAAATTACCACAGATAGAACGAATTCAGGGGAAAAAAAATTACATATGTGCCATTTAGCACATAATTATAAGAAGAATCATAAAAAAAACCAAATCTCTAAAAGCTTCACATCTCTGGAAAAGAAACCCTTTCATCACAGCGAAAATATTAAGCTTTCAAATAATAAAATAATCTCAAGAACTGTGCAGCGACCGTACCTGGGAAGCATCTTTGTCCCCCGAGCAGTTCCACTTTTCAAAATCCCTATAAACTCCTGTTGTGCCCAGCTGCCAACTCAGGTTAATAATAGCAATGAGCCATATTCATCCAAAACCACAAGACTGTCAGGTGACATATCAAGAGGTCTGAATTTAACTCAAACAAAAGACTCTCCATGCTGCAATGCAAAAGGCTTAATCCTAGCAACAGGATCACAAAAACCACCTTAAAGCAAGCAGTTCGCCGAAGTGCAAGAGAGGCGTTTGCACCAGGCTGTGTTCGCACTGCCCTGGAGTTTCGTAACCCAAATCCTGCCCCTCCATTCTCCCGCACAGCCCGGGATTTCTGCTCAAGCGAATATCGCCTGTCTTCCCTGCTCCTTTGTCTCTTCCAGCGTCCTGCTGCAGAGCAGATCGATCTAATTCATCGGCGAGCTAAGTGCTGCTTTGGCAGCCGCCGGAGCTTCATGTCAGTCCCATCCACCCTCCTCCTCTAGCCAACGCGATCGGAGTTGAGCCTCATGACCCAAGTCCCCCCGGCAACTGCGGCCGCCGTCCTGCACCTCCACCAGCCACGACCGTCGGGAATTCAGCCTGCTCGGACGAGAGGCAAGGCAAGGCGGCCTCCTTCCAGGCTGCCTTTACATTCCTGGAAGCGACGGGATGCTTGTGCCGGAGCCCGGGCGAGCGAGCAGAGGCAGAGGGGTGGAAGAGCCAGCGCTGACAGCCATCATGTGACCCAGCTGTCAGCGCCTGCCACCTGGAGCCGCCATCCCCGCCACCAAGCCCGGCCCCGCCGCCGACCCCCCGCGCAAGGTTCCACCACGAAAATAAAGGCCTCGACCGTGTTTAACGGCGCGGGGTCTCGTTGGGATGCCCGCTGGGAAGGGGGAAGAGGTGGCGACGGCTCCCCCGGAGGGGCGCGGGGCTGGCCACG